GACTACAACACCTACGGACAGTACCGCCCCACCCCTGGCGTGCTGCAGGTGGACTTCAGGCAGGCCCTCACAGAGGTGAGCGCCTTCGATGTGCTGGAGGCGACGCATCTCTTCGCGCAGGCGTTTCCCAATGCGTTGCAGCCGACGGTGGAGCGGCACCTCAGCCGCAGTATCCTCGCCAAGCTTGGCAATAGTGGAGAGGAGGTCATCACAGAGGAGCACACCATCGTGCTACGGCCTCCGCGAGAGCTTCTGCTTACCAAGGAAGATCTTGTGAAGTTTGTCGATCTGGTGCAGCTGACGCCGTTGAAACGTGTGAAGACGTCTCCGGTGGTGTGGCGCTTCATCGAAGGAAAGGCACAACGATTGCAAATGAATGAGGTACTCAAGGTGGCCAAGCTGCAGCAGGAGGAGCAGCAGCATCAGCAGGCTGCTCATGCGTCGGTCTAGCGTGAAGAAAATGAGAAGTGGAACTGGTACACAGAGAAGCACACCAAACATGTTGCCGTACGAGACACGGTTAGAGGAGAGGCCGTTACTTCGCTTTTAAAGCAACCACCCATGCAAGGTGAGAGCCGGGCTTATGCGTACATGTCTCTTATTTCTCCCAGGGATACATAATGTGCTATGTTTTTTTCTTTACTTTTTCTTTGTTGTTGCTACTTTCCCTTTTGTATCCTTCTCTATGGGACAGTGTGGAGAAGAGAGGGGCTTCCCTATAAAACATGTCGGCGACGGCAGCGGGGACGCAAAGCGCCGCAACAACGACGCCACATGTAGCGCACATTCAGCTGCTCACGCGCAGAGTTCAACACGACGACGCGTGCCTCAACTGGATCAAGTCGCGCTACACAACCGCTGGAGCAGTGGCGGTAAAACATAACATGGAGGAGGAAACGGATGTTTTTCTGGTGCAGCTGGAGAATGACTTGGCTGCCTGCGCCACGCACCGCTGGGCGCCGTACTCGTATCACTCGCCAGTCTACGACGCCGCGTCGCCGCAGTACGCGAGCGGCAGAAGCAACTCCACAGAGGCGTGCATTGAGAACCTTCCGGCGGAGGGAGCGGCGACGGCGTTTAATGTTACGCTTCGGAACGCGCCAAGTATGGCCGCTGAGCCGTCGCCGGACGACGTCATGCAGTCAGAGCCGTCGCGCCATATCTTCACCCAGGCGGTGCGCAAAAGGGAGCAGAAGCGCATCGCGGAGATAATAGAGACGGATGCCGGCACTGGCGGCTCCAGTGCGTCGAGGCGCCCATTCTTCGGTGGCTACTTCTCGTCACCGCTTGCCGGTGGTGCCACGCGGTTCCTGTTGTTCCCGCAGTGGATGCACGACACCGCGGCGGGAGATAAGCGCCCGCAGGAACTGCTGTACTTCCTGCGCGGCACTATCAGCAGAAGGTCGGTACGCCCACGCAACAGTGACGGTGCTCCGCAAGAGGATTCCGGTCTGATGCGCCAGCTTCTGCAGGAGATCATCCTCAACGTGTCTCTGTCGCGTAAGTTCAAAACAGAAGCCCCACGGTGGAAACTCTTTAATTGCGTGGACGCCATTCGTACGGACCTGTACGCCAACAACGAGAGCACGGAGCGATACTTCAGCCCAAGCAATGAGACAGACGCCACGACGGGCATTGCTAACGATAAAGATGGGGAACTCACCGCCGTAAAGTTCCGTGATGCCGGGGCGCGTACTTCATTTTCGTACCGGGACCCACGCAAGTCCTTCACGCTGAACAGTGCATTCCGCGTGACACGCAACTTTTCGTATTCGAAAGAGGCACAGGAACGCGCCGTCGCTTCTTTCGCAGTTATGGATGAGTACGACAGCGCTGTGCAGCGCTTCACCTCGCCGATGGTGCACCGCCGCTTTCCTGACGCGCGGTACCACCTGCAGTGGGCAGCGGGTCCCGGCGTGGAGTACGCCACAGGCACGGTGCCGTGGACAGTGTTCGGCAAACTTGTGACGGAGTGGTGGGCCGAGTTTCCCCTCACACGCCGACTGTCGTTTCGCCTGCGCAATCAATCAGCATTGGTGCAGCCGCTGTGCTGGCAGCATCTCGCTGCGGCGCCTCAGAGGGCAGCAATTAGTGGAGACATTGACGATGGGGCTGCGAGTGAGGGTGCTACTGTGACTAGTAGTGGGACTTCGTCCTGTGCTGCGACCCACGAACTCTTCTGGGCGACGCAAGGGCCGCGGTGGGACTCGCGCCTTGTGCGTGGCTTCGAAGACGACTACAAGTCGATGCATTATGCGTCACACTGGTACACGCTTTTCTCAGCAGAGCTCTTGTCACACAAACAGCGGGGTAACGACCGCACGCCTAGCAAGTGGCGCCCNCCCCGTGGAATGCTTTATCTGAACGCGTGCTTCATTGACTCCTTCACACGGCCACCACGCGCGTCCGTCGGTTTCTCATTCACTGGCGCCCCGCGTCTGACGAGTGACGCCTTCAACGTCATTACACCGTCCTCGTTTGAGTGCAGCTTCAACTGGTGGCTCAACTTTCAGAAGGAGCGTGTTTCGCTAGAGTCGGGGCTCTCAGCGGGGAGGCGCGCCGAGGACTCCATTCTGCGGCTATCCCCAGTCGAAACGTTCCGCCACCTACGCTGCGGGTTGACGTGGAACCTGTGAGGGTGGCGTGGTGCCCGATAAATGGAGGGCCAGAGACGGAAATTACCGTCACAGTGCTTTTGCACAAGCTCTAAGGCGCTGCACACCTTGTGGGGCACGTTAGGGCCGCTGCGAGAAAGGTGACACATGATACTGTGAAGCATGGTGCATAGCAATGTGATTGCACAAGGGTACAGAGATATAATGTGGGACAGATGTCTCTGCCAAGATCGTATTGCTTAACGACTGCCACATGATTTCATTTTTTTTCACAGCGCCTACTTACGGGTGCCTTAAGAGGCACCCAGAGAAGTCAGCCATGAGGCCAACGTAGTCATCGTGGTGCCGCACATACAGTAGTCTACTGTGCTTTTCCCCTCGGCCAGGGTGTTTTGACGTTTCCCGTTAACCTCTTGTCCATTGCGGCGCCGCAAAGCTTCTGTCGTTGTACTCTTTTGAGAATACATGCCGCTTCTTATCAATTACGACTGCAGCTGCGGCTTGTTGGTGTGCCTCGGATACCGCAAGTAGCATTGCTGCGTTGTACTCTGTGTCTCTGCACACAGCGACAGAATGTGAGCGCGCAAAAANCTTGTTGGTGTGCCTCGGATACCGCAAGTAGCATTGCTGCGTTGTACTCTGTGCCTCTGCACACAGCGACAGAATGTGAGCGCGCAAAAAAAAAGCCCACATATAATATATATATATATTTTCCTTTTCATTCTGGTTCTTCTTTGCTGTTCCTTTTCGTCAGCTGTGTACGCGCATTGAATAGAATAATGAATGTGGACGTCATTGACGCGACGGCCGAGGCGCTACCGCTGGAGCTGCTGAACGCGACGAACAAGGAGCTGACGGCGCAGCTCTCGCGGCACGAGGAGCTGTGCGACGAAAA